GAAAAAATATTTATAAATAATATAAAAATAACAATAATCGGGAAAATAAAAGTTAAAACGAGAGACAGAAATCAATATTGAATTATTTAAATATAAGAATTATGTTAATTTGCTATTGAATATGTGAAAAAAGTTATTTAACAAAAGATTATTGTCTTGTTTATATCTATATAACTATCATCTAATCATCTTTTTTCTTATAAGAAATGTTAAAAGAGTTTTCAAGTTTATATTCTTTAACATCGATTTTTAAAATTATTAAACCAATAAATAAAAAAAAAGAAAATGAATTTTTCAATAATAGAATTTACGTATGGATTAGACGGAAAGGAAAATTATTCAATCAAAAATCTATAGATTATATAGACTGCACTTAACGAACTAATATTAATATTATAATATTAATATAAGTTTAAGAATACAGTAGAATTTCGATAAAATGATATTCAATAATCCAAAATGCATAATTCTATTTATTATTGTTATTCAATAAGTATATTACAAAACATATTTTGTAAAAAAATACTTATTTTATATTTCTTAATAAATTATATTAATTTATTAATTTATTATGATTTTTTAAATTTTTTCTTACCAAATTTCAGATGTAGTCTTAGAATTCGAAATATTTGATAATCAGACAAATATTTTCAGAAAATTATCGCAATTCTACTGTATCTAATTTCAAATGATTTCCGCATGCGAATATCATTACAATTTTGAATTTCGTTGAAATGTCTCACTGTGGATTTTCTTGCGAAATTATTGAGGACATTTAGAACCCGCCAAATGACCTTAAATCAATCGCACAATCGATATATTTGTTATTTAATTTTCGATATATTAGGTTATCAAATCGATTAATATCTTTTTATTTGTAAAAATCGATATTTACAGCATAACTATTACGCTAAAAATTGTTTAATAATAATGTAAAAATAAAAATTTCTTTTCGATAGCAACACATATATTAATATTTCTAAAAACGAGAAATCTTATTACTGTGCATATCAATTTTTGTGAAAATACAACAAAACAATATGTAAATGTTTTACTCATCACTGAATAGTTGAATAGTTTCAGATTTATATTTTTGATAAAAATAGAGTATAGCTAAGATTAATATAACTGGGTAATTAAAAATATTAAGCAATATTCCAAAATATTTCCAATAATTCCCAGATAGTTCCTCTACCCCCTAAATATGTACAAAGTGAGCCATAGTTCAATCGTTTTATAGGAAGTAAGTGAACAATTAGCTCGCATTGTTAATTATGTTTCTTAATGGTCTTTTTTTCATATTTTAATAAGCCTTATGATATACCATCGTCACTTCCCTATCTTTTTGTGTTTGATCTTTATCACCCCAACCCCATAGATTATGACTTCCATCGCCGGTTCTCTCCACTCGTTTTTTCACTAAATCAGAAGGAACCGATTTCAAATCATATGCGAGTCTAAATTTTGCGCACATATCAATAAAAGCTGTTGTAACATTAAATCTGTAATTTCCCAATTCTGCCGTTTTGTAATCCCATGGGAATACATGGTGATAATTATGCCAACCTTCGCCAAGAGCTCCTATGGCCACTGCTTTATTCTCCGAAGGATTGATAAACCTGAATAAAATAATTGAATTATTTTATTTATTGCTTACTTTCATTATGTTTATTATATTTTTAATTATTTTTGAATTATTATTAAATTAATTAATTCTATCATTTTCAGAAAAAAATATAGGATGTTAATATATATCTTTTAAATGAAAACTACACTAACTTGTCATATGGTTTGTTTCCAAAGATATGAGCAGCGGAGTTAACAAGCCAAGTCATATTCAGCACGAAAACATAACGCAAAACTGTGGCCACGAAATATGAATTGGACCAAGTTTCATTCCAACCATAGACTGGAATAATAGTCGGTAAAACGAAACAAAATAGAGGCATCAGAATTAAATAGTATCTGTAAATACATTATGAAATATATTAAGAACATAGTAATCAAATTTTTTATCTTCTCAGAATGTTAATATATTCATTAACATTAACATTATATCTTTGGAAGTCAATTGAAATTTATTTTCTAACTTATAAGTAATTTAAATTTCCATTAAATGAAGCGGCAGAGTAAGCATCTCTATTTTTATCACATAGCTAGTTTACTTTGTCTTTGTCTTGCTTCATGTAACAATATGCTTATAAATTCTTAATAACTAAGCTTTAATTAATTTCTGTATATTTTACTTTTATATGTTTATTTTGGTCTCCATGAATAAATATATTAACACTCTGAATATAAAATATATTTCTATTACTTTTTATTATTCAATATAGGAAAAAGGTCAAACATTTTATTTCATTTGATCAAGAAAAAGAATTAGTAAGTCATGCTTACTTTTTCTGGAATGCCAATATACGATTTTTCTCCAGATCACTTATATCGATTCTTTTGCCTTTTTCTTTAATGTCCGGGTGTTTCTTACACAAGAGCCAGCCTATATGTGCGAAGAAAAATCCTCTCGTCGCGTTATGAGGGTCCGCATCTGTTTCGCTGTATTTATGATGAACTCTGTGATCTCTAGCCCAATGAATTGCTGCATCCTATAAAAAAAAAATTGAATGAAAGAATAGCAATTAAAAATTTAATAGAAAAATTTGTGTCTTCTATGATATCACAAAATAATCGCAAAAAAAAAAAAAAATTACGATAGAATTTTCAGTTTAATTTTATTATGAAATTTATTTTATTAATTTATATCAATATCTGAATTCATGTAATTGTATTTAAATACATAATTCATGTATAGTATAGTAATAATATTTAATAAATTGATGACTTACTTGAAATGCCATAGTATTCCAAATTACTAGTACTAACTCGAGTGGCCATTTCGCTTTATAAGATTTGTGTGCCCATAATCTGTGAGCACCAGCTGTAATTCCCAGTCCAGTGCATACGTACAGGAATAATGCTATAAAACGGAAATAAAACATTTAAATTTTCTTATTATATATATATATTATAAATTTTTTTCTTATTATATATCATTATATATTTAAATAAAAGATTTTAATTTATATTTTATTTATTAAATATTTTTTATTCATGAAAATAACATCAGATATATATATATATATGTATGTTTTATTATGTTTATTTATTAAAAATAATTAAATAAACATTAATAACACAATTAGAAATTATTTTATTTGTTCAAAATCAAATTTGCAACGTAAAATACTTTAAAATAGTATAGAAGTTAATTGACTGAACAATTATTATATTATTTCACTTACCAAACAAAGTAGTCTTAAATTGTGCGGACGTAAAAACCAGATACAATCCATATACAGCGGCTAGATGAAGATAAGAGAAGATAATCACATTTCTCCAGATAATGTGTTTCTTATATTTTTTTTTAGGTGTCTCGATTATAGTTTGATCTGAACGATTATCTCCATCAAATATACCTGACGGAGTACTTGTTACATTAGGTGCCATTTCTTCTTCTTCTATTTCTAAAACGGAAATATAAACGGAAAAATTATTACATTTGTAAATTAGGATGCAAATTTGGATTTTATGAATTTTTTTTTTATTATTTATGATGCAATAAAAGTGATTAATAGAACTTAATGAAAAAAAAAAGAAAAATTCTTTTATTGATTTATTGAAGATTTTAAAAGATTGACACATTAAAAGATTGTTTTAAAATTTTCCAAATAAAATAATTGTTTTTAACAATTTTTAAAATAAAATAAAATTTTTTAAATCTTGATTATTTTCTTAATAAATAAATAAAAATAAAATTTAAATAAATAAATAAAGATAAAGTATACACAATGAATATAAAAATATATTTTGTAAATATTTTTTAAAGATTTTAAAATATTTTCTTGAAAATTTTTTAAATAAAATAATTATGCTTTGATAATTTTTAAAGTAAATACTTTTTTGGTAATTAAATAAAGTAAATGAGTATAAAAAGTATTCTGATTTCTTTTATTTATTACATTTAACAATCTTTGATAATTCATAATAATAAATAATACTATTATTTCATATTTCCATTTCTTTACAAAACATGTTTTAAACAAATTTTATCTTTCTTAAAATTTAAATTTCTAATAATTTAAAACTAAAAATTATAATTTCTTAAAATTAAAATTACAATTTATAATATTTTATATTTATAATTTTTTATTGTATTTTGTATATTTNACATTAATATAAATTAATAATTCTGCATTTCAATAAATTTTCCAATTTGATTTTTCAATTTTCTAATTTAATTTTAGCTTTTTTTAAAAAAGAAAAAATTAGCTAAAAAAAAATTAAAAATTTAACAATCTTGCAATAAAATAATAATATGAGAAATTTATTATTTCTTAGTGAATTTAAACGGAACTTTTTTAATTAATTTATTATTGATATGTAAATAATTGAAAAATAATTTTAAACTATAATCATATTCTAATTTGAAAATACATAAAAAAAAATATTAATAAATATATATAACTAACTATTTCATGGAATATTGGATTTGAATTAAATTAGAATATATTTAATTTTTGATACGCTAGCATAAATTAATTTTTTTTAGATTTTTTTTAAACTAGATTGAGTGAAACTATAAATTTTTTTTATTTTTTTCATTATATATCATGAAAAATGATTTAAATCCGTGAGATTTTCTAATTTTTCTAATTAATTAGAAATTATGATAATATTTATATTTTTATATTTTTAAATATATTATTATATTATATTAATTATATATATAATATATATATATTTTAATATAATATTTTTTTAAGCTTCCTTGATTGATTTTTATTTATGTATAATAAAATAATGGTTAAAAGTAAAACTAAAATAAATATTTAAAATTGAGAAAAAATTCAAAATTATGTTAATTTTCTTAATATATTTACTTTTTAATTTTGTCTAATTATTATTATTATTATTATTATTTTGTATGTTTTTTTAATAACATTTTATATTTTTTAATAACATTTTATAATAATAATATTTTGTTTTCATTAAATCTTTTATATATAAAAGAATAATAAATAAATATATATTCAAATTCGATACAATCATATTTGAATTAGGTTTAATAAAATGAAGTAAGTCATGCTTTTTAAAACTAGATATATATATATATTATATTATATTATATTATATATCATATAAAATTATCATATATCAACATGCAAATCATCTATCATCTATTACCTATATCTAAATATTAAAATTCCTAATTTAATTAATTATTAATTATTATTAATAATTAATTATTATTTCAATTAATTTCTTCAATTATATCTTTAATTATTATGCTTTTTTTAAATATAAATTTGATGTCACGATTCTATATTCTATATATCTATATATCTTCTTTATTTTTTTTGTTAAATTACATTTGGTAAAAAAAATATATAATAAATATATGTAAAAAGTATTCATATAGAATTCTACTTAAGTAATTAACTAATCTAACTAATTATAATCAAAATATTCTAATTATATCTAATATATGTACTTGTAAAAAATTGATGTCTATTACATAGAGTCTATAATTTTTAGAAAAATATTAAATAAATAAAAAATATATTTATATTATATTTATGTAAATATAAATGAAAAAAATACAAAATAGTAAAAGTACGTATTTGTATTCATATATTTCGTTAATCATATTTCGATAAATTTAATATATATTTTGCAATTTAAATATAACAAAAAGTAAAAATTTATTTAAAATATCTTGTTTTACAGAAATATATATATTTACAAATCATATTCGATAATATGTAAAAAAAATTTCCGGAATATCAAAATTACTAATAAAGGAATATATCAAACTATAATTTATACATATAATTATACACATATAATTTTGATGAAATTTATGTATGAAGTAATTTTCAAAAAAATTTTTGATACATATTTTCTTCAATTATTAATCAATTAAATATTCATCTGAAAGAATAATATTATAATTTAGAATTAATAATATATTTTCTGAAATATTTTCGGGTCTGGTATAAGAAAAATTAAAAAAAAAAATAAAAAAAAAAAAAAAAGAGAAATCCAATTTTAAATATGAAAAATTCCATTTAATAATATCGCGAATATAATCAAATATCGCATTAACAAAATGAAAAATATAGATATATGTTAATATTAAATAAACAAAAATAATATATGTAAGAATATTGCAATATGCAGTATCATACGAATTACATTAATCAGTTACTGACTAGTTACTGCTACCGATAATTCCTAATAACAATTATGACACTAAAACAAAATAGTACATCAGCTACAAAAAACAAAACTCTATTATTCCATTGGCAGTATTCCACTAAAAATTATATTAGTTTCAAAGGAAATATAATCGACTCAGCGAACATTCGATTTGTATCACGAATTTAATATTCATATATGTGTATTCCAAATAAACAAATACATTATTAACAATCGTCTAAACAGAGAATAACTCTGTAAGTTTAATTAAAAATATAATTAATAATTATAAGAAAAATATTTAAATATTTTTATATGTTCTATGAAACATATGTTGGTAATACCATATGAAGTTATTGAAAAAAAATAGACAAAATTAAATATGAAACTACTATCGCAAATGTTATTCTTCAGGAATCTTCCATTTTCAAATTGATGTAAAACTTGAAAATATAAATAAATTTCTATTGAATATTTTTTATTGAATAAATTTATTAGGATATAATATAAATTATTATTTAAATAAAAAAAAAGGATAAAAGATTGGCAAAAGATTTCTAATATTTATCTAGCGAATAATAATATCAGACATATTATTAATAATTCAAAAATTAGAATCATATTCTAAATTCTAGATAAAAATTCTTCATTGAAAAAATTTAACAAACAATAACAATAAAAAAATAATTTCCGAATCAATTTCATAAAATACAACAAAATTTTATTGTAGAAGAAAGCAGATTTATTTTTAATGGAAAAATCTTCAGATAAATCATGACTATCAAAAATATGAAAATCAATAAAAAAAGAAAATTAAGTGAAGAAAGTTTTTTTTTATTTTACATAAAAATTAAAAAAAAATTATTGTTTTTGTGAAATTACCCGATGTTTTTCTTAATATACTTTCAATTATTACTAATTTAAAAAATCATAAAAAATGCCACAAAATCCAAATATAAATTAATATTGATACATACAAATATTCAATATTTCAGCAATATGATTAAGATACTTTTAAATGATCATAAGATAAGAAATAAATGCACAAGAATGATTAAAAATGATAATTATATCTTCAAATGAATAAAGTAATTATACTTTATTTTCATAATTTTAAAAAAAAAGAAAAATTTTCTAACTTACATATTTTTCAAAATGTAATAGAAATTAATTATAGAATTTTAGAATAAAATATTGGATATAAAATACATTTAGAAAGATAATAAATATTTATAAATAATCTCAATCTAGAAATCATTTGTTCAAGAAATTTTTAAGAAAAATTTTAAGAAAAAAAAAATTTTGCTGCAAATATTAAAAATTATTCTTTTTCGAAAATAGAAAAACTTTCACAATTCTGACAATATATTGTTATATAGATTAAAAATAATTTTTTAAAAAAAAATTCCATTTCAAACAACTTCAGTTTTATTACCGATGAAAAAATATAATATATATTATATATATATATATATATATATATATAATATATATTGTTATTGTTATAGTTGTATAATATATATATATTATACAACTACTTATTCATCAAAATTATTAAGTTGGTAATTAATTAGTAATTTTTTAGAATCCTTTATTTTGCTAGAAGAGAACATTGTAGGAATTCAACAAAAAAAATAACTCTAAAGAAAATATTATAAAATCCTTCTTAAAGATCTCTATGTGGCTCATCTATTTAAAATTGCAAATAAAACATTAAATTCTATTAACCTAACTAAATGTTTCATTAAAATACTAATCTACTTGAATGGGAAAAGCTATTTCACATGGCAATGACTCAATCACGATATCAAGGATAACACTAAAAATATCAAACATTCATTGATCTCCGAAGCATAATACAAAGAAAAGTGACACTTATTCAATTTATTATGGGAAAATATATAGTAATATTACTCTTATCAACATTAAGTTAAGAAAATATTAATATAATAGTTTAAAATCTTATCAATATAATTCATGAAGTAAGAAATATCTTTATTCAATACCTTATTCAATAAATACGTAAGAAACATTCAATCTCATTATGGAACAAAAACTGCAAAATAATTATAAATAACATTAATAAATCATACCTTAAATGTATTCAGAAAACATTTGTAAATAAAAAATAAAATACAATATAAAAGATTATAAGCCATATCTTAAATAATAGTCAAGGAAAGAAACTCTTGGATGAATTATGTACATTCTATTAATAAAAATGATACATATTGAAAAAAAATTAAAAATATCAAAAAATTTTTGTTATTTTTGTTAATTTTTGTTTCTCTATTCTTCCCTTAAGCTTATAAGCTATTTAACCACAGAATATGAATCAATAAATTTGTTTATCGAAAATTTTAATAATAATTATCAAAAAATTAGAAAAAAAAACAAAATATTTGCAAATATCAAACAACTTTTTTTTGAAATTAATCTTATCTTATTGAAATGAAAAATATTCTAAAAAAATATATTAAATAAATGTAAAAATTTCAATTTCTCTTCATATAAACTATGTAATAAATATTGCAAAATATCCCAATAATCCAATATATCAAAATATATTTAAAAAGAATATTTAAAAAGAAAAAAACTATCTATTCCATTTTATAAAAAAATGAACAAATACTTAACAAAAGTTAATATTAATTTGAACATTATTATTATTGACAAAAAAAGAATAAAATTTCTATGGATTACTAATTTAATTTTTTTTAATTTTTTTAATTTAATTTTTTTAACTCTATTATTATTGACAAAGAGAAATATTAAAATTTCTATGGAATATTAATCTACTATACATAAATTTTTATATTAAAAAAAAGTGAAATTAGCTTTCTGATTTTTAAAATACTTTACAAAGTAATATGTATGCCTTTATATAATCTATTATATCTATTGATACAAATGATTTTAAAAATTAAACAGAAAATTGATTGCTCTATAATCAAAATAAAATAAATAATTAATATTAAAACTTTTTGAAATTGATTTATATTTTTTATGTGAAATAATTATCCAAAAATACATTAGAATACATTAAAAATACATTAGAAAAATATATTTGAAATTCATTCAATAAAAGATTTATTATTTTTTAAAATTCAAAAAATTTTTTACAAGTAATCCAGAAAGATTTGATAAAAAATTTAATAACAATAATCAAAAATATTCAAAAGATATTTTCGCAAATCTAAAAACGAAAAAGAAAAAAATTTATATGAATATTCTTTATTGTGGATATTAGGAGTAATGATGAATTGTTATAATATCTATCTGAAAAATATCTATCTGACAAATTTGAAATGATTTCAAAGATTACAGAAGAAAAAAACACTGTTAATTTTAATAAAAGTACTATCAATATTTTAGTTAAGTTAGACTCATTATATATGCTCATACGTAGTCATTATATATGTGACAATTGGTTGTGCCAACATACATACTTATTTATTCTTAAAAGAAACTATGCTTAAATAAAATATATTTTATATAATGAGAACTTCAAATTGAAATACATTCTCTTCGATTGTTCTCACTGAAAGAAAAAAATGCAAAATCAAAAACAATACGATTAATAAAATAATAAATGCAAGAATATAAAAAATATTAATATTTTTTAATGAAATCAAAATTTATATTCAATTACAGAAGCAAAAATTCAGCAAAAGATAAGTGGGAAATTTTTTAAAATTATTACATTTAATTATTAGATATGAATATTAATTTATATTCAAAAAAATAACATAATTAAAATCATTGATTCATAATTCATTTTTAATTTCATTTTATAGATAATTTTTTCATTATGTTAAATTTGCTTTAACTATACGAATTGTTTGAGAGAATTTGAAAATCTCATAGAATTCTGTCTCATGAAATTGATTTCAATATTTTTTTTTTTTTTACAATTATAACATTATTTTTAAATATTCTTGCTATAAAAAATATTTTTTTATATATTTATATATTTTATTTTATATTCTTTGAAAATTTTCTTTATTACAAACATTATAAAAGTAAATAGTTTTATTCACAAAATCAATCATAAAATCAAAAAAAAATTCAATATAAAATATATATAAAAAGTTCAATATATTTCAATATGAATTATAAAGTTAACAACAAAAATGTTGTACGAATATATTTTTTTTGTTAAAAATTATGGATTATAAATTATGTAACAGTAAAAAAAAACATTATACTTTCATAATTTACCGGAACACTCGTAATAAGTTTACGGAATGTTAGTGTTCTGAGAAACTAGATTAAGAACTAATATATATACATCTAAAATTTGTTAAGTCGTTTATAAATAATCTTATCTTATAAATAATATTTTACTTTTATATTGTACTCTATTTATTTTAAATGATGAAATTATTTATTTAAAATAAATAAGTAAATTATTTATTTTTTAATTTTATCGTTCGAAAATCAATATAAAATCGATGCAAAAAACATTAAAAAAATATATGAAACATTAATATAACAAAGAAATAAGAAAGAAGATATTAAAATTAATCAAATCCATAGGAAATAGTAATATTATCATAGTAATTTATCAATATATAACATTATCTACATTATATAACATATAAAAATTTCGCGAAACATTTCCAATGAAAACTTACCACACAAAATTATTCATATATTGTTTTTTTCAAAACGGAATATCCAAATGAAATTGATATTGACGCGAAAATAATATTCTCTTGATCATGACTTCTTCTGACACTACCTGTAATTCCCATTATTCACTTGATGGCTAAAATTTTTTTTATTTTTTGAAAAATAAAATTACTCTATAACTACTTATTAAAATGTTTGAATAATATTTATTATTAATAATATTATAATATTTATTTAACTATTATACTTGATCTGTTCTTCATATAACTTCAAATGTTTAGCATTGCAATTTTTTATAATAATAAGTAATAAATTATTGAAGTAACATTATTCTTAATTTCAACTATTAAATTTTATCTATCTATGTTAACGACTTAATAATTACCAAGTTTCTGTAAATAATTTTTAATACTAAACGTCTCTTGATCTAAAATTTGAACAAACATCTTCCATTCAATATACATATACAAAATGTTAATACATTTATTATTATGCCAAATAATATTTGGGATATTTTTAAAGTGATTCTAGAAATCAAAACAAATGCAAAAATTAAATAAATATAAAAATATTGGTCAAAATATTATTTTATATTATTATATATATTATATATTAAGTTGTAGCAATATAAATTCACATTAGATGAAGTAATATGGAAACAAAGTGCGATAGCGGTGTAACGGAGACAGAATAATTTCACTCTTTCCATCTCATTTTATTTAACTACAATTTATAACCTAATAAATAAATCTTAATGACATTTTTGTATTTGTTTTGATTTCTGGAATCTTTAAAAATGTTCTAAAAATATAAATTATCCTTTTGATATGATATATTTTTTTTCGTTTAAATTAATATATAAATCGTCCATAAGATATGACACTTTCACTATTATTGCAAGAATATCACAGACGTTAACGTATGGTCTTGTTTATGCATGAACAACTATGTACTATTAAAGTGACTTTATATGGATATCACCTAACAAACTATATATAACACTTTCTACATCTTGAAAAATAGCTATTGCTGACTTAAAAAATATGTCGTGAAAAATAAAAGAGAATAATGCCAAGAAAAAGGACAAAATATCCAGTCAATGCCCGAACAAGTTCATTTATTGACTGGCAACTGGATCGGGAGACGCGCATTCTCCTTGCGACGCAAGCTCATCATGCTGTCCTAAACGCCACCAATTCATACAGGATATTTCTTACTACATAGTATGTAACACTAAGATGTCGCAATGCTATTTGAAACTTTTTATCAAATTTGTTGATCTATACAAAAGATCGTAAAACCAAAATTATATTCATTGTCATGATATTAACTTTGACGCAAAGAATTTAATTGGATTAAAGGAGACTTAGAGATATTGATAAAGGACATTTAGAAAATGATAATAAAGAAAAAAATTTTTTTTTATTATAATAAGAATATAATAAGAATATTACAATCAATTCTCGCGGAGAATTTTTAATTTAATTATGATGTTTACATATTACAATGAAATGATTGAACATCTCAAAATAGGATTATTTCATTTTAATATTATTAAATATTCATTTTATTACTTTTATGAATTTTTTGAACTTATGTGCAGATATATAACTTTTTAATTTTTGAAAATGATTTATTAAAAAATGGAGATATTAGAAGATTGATATGTCATCAAACATTTAAATTAAAAGTTTTTCTCAAGTTTTCTTCTAATTATAGATATTTTTAAGTCCTTATGTATGATTTTATTACTTACATATTATGGAATTTTATGCTTTATGTTATGCATATTTAATCCTTAATTTTTAAAATCTTAATTAAAAAATTTTAATATTGTACCTTATAGAAAATAAAAATAATAATAAGAATTCATATTAAAACTAAAATCAAGTGGCATTTTTGCCATAATATTAACTTTGAAATATTTTAATTAAAAGATTGGAGAATTGAAAAAATATGTTTAAAGAATAATGAAAAAAATTTAAAAAAAAAAAAAAATAAAAATGAAAGTTATAAAGGCATCGTAGAATAGAAATATTTTGAAATATTATAAAAGAAAAAGAATGTTAAATAAAAGGAGAAAATGAATATGATATAAAATAAGCATGGGTAGGTTTAGAATGGAAAAATCTGTAAGATGGTGTCAAAATTTTTAGATCATCAAAGGCTTTTGTTTTACTTTTAAAGAAGATTATTGTTATTATTGAGAAATAGATTATTGAGAAATAGAATTCTTTAATATCGAAAAAATGAAATGGATAGAAATTTAATATTTTATTTCTTAATTATTTATTAGTTTTTATTATTCAATATTTGTATATATGCATAAAATTCGATATATGTATGTGCACATAGAATTCAAAATCTGTGTATCGAATTAGAGAATTAGTTATGAAAAAAATAAGAAAACCAAATTATCGAAAACTTAATAGTCATAGACTTAATAATGAAATTTAAAAATAAACAAATAAAATAACGGATAAAATTAATACAATATTTATTCATTAATTACGTAAATGAAATTATTTTATTTAATAATTAATTTTATTTAATAATAATTTATTTTATAAATTAATTTAATATATATTTGTTATTTGAAATAATTTTTGAAATGTTGAATGATTTTAAATTATATTAATCAAGAACGTGTTATGGTTTTTATCTTGCATAAAAGTACAAGTTCA